TTTTTTGTGAGCAGCCAACATGGCTGGAAAAGCCACACAAAATTTCAGGTACATAAAGCCCCTTCCACCTCTGAGTCTGCACAGCCCATCAGCTGAAGCAGCCCAGCATCTGACCGTGACTTGTTAGCAACTATCATGCAGCCAAGTTTGATTAAATGCCCGTTCCCTGACTCTCCCAGGAGCCCCCACTTGCAAAGTTTGTGGATTGTTTGAGCTCAAGACCCAACTGCTTCTCCTTTCAGTTCTCAAATTCCCTGGTTCAGTCCCAGGTGCATTGGCCAAGATGATGTCCATCATCTCCTCTAAAACAACAAGCAGACAAACAAAGGAGATGCTCTCCTTCACACCCCCCTCCAATAAAGTGCCTTCAGCAGCTCAAACCAAACCCCAAATATCGGAGCCTTATAATGACATCGTGAGAGTTAGCGAGGCAGCAGCTCCCCTGGTGATTATAACAACACCGGTGCTTGAGAAGAGTCTTTGCTTCAAGGCATCTGGAATTGCTCTTGCAAGATCCATTGTCAAATGAGCCTTTTCCTTTGTTTAAAAATGTCAGCCCAAAGACCCCTGCCAGAGTGGTGGTATAGCCTGCTTGGGTTCACTCTGGCTCCCACAAGGCTTCAGCAGTCCTCTTTGCCCATCCTTGTCTCCAGGCTTAATTAGGAAATCATTTATCTTTATTGGCACTCTGTTTCCCCTGCTGCTTTGGCACTATTTTTTTTTTTTTTTTGCCTTCATTCCAGTGCAGTGAGCTGTACAGGGAAGACCACAGCCCCATTCATTGTGGGTGGGGAATAATCTACAACTGGGAGCCCTACAAGGAAGACCCCAGCAGTGAATCTGCTCAAGTGGCATCGCCTGAGGGAGCTCAGTGCAGCAACAGGAGAGGAGGGTATCCCTTGGCTCCACTCACAGGCTGACAATAGGGATTCCTGGTGATACTGAAAGTAGGACACTACTCCCAGGGGATGTCATACGGTCAGCCTGTCCTAAACTGAACTGCCAGCCCTCTCCAATCTAATGATACGCCTGCTTCATCTCCCCAGCCACATCCCTTGCTGGAAGAGCACACAAAGAGAAGGGGCTGTAAGGACAGGCACAGCTCAGGGACTATCAGGCCCTGAAGATCCGCGTGTCCCAGGCTGAGCCCCGAGCCTGGCTTCAGCAGGGGAAGGTTCCCTACACCTACACAAGGGAAAAAGGGAAAACTCCCTTGGCTTCCTCCACTGCTGGCATTTGATCATTTGCCAGGATAGTCAGAAAGTCAAAACCCACCCTGAATTTCTCGGGAGCCAGCAGCCTCAGTCAGACCTCAGACATACTCAGCTGAAAATGGCATCACTTTGGCAGCCTGGAGGGACAGCCACTCACTGTGCTATGCTTCCACTACCACAGGCAATTCTTTCTGGGTAACTTCTCTGGGTTCCCCATCAGCTGCGTTTTATTTAAATTGAGACGGAGATAAAATTCCAACCAATAATTCCTTCCACTTAAAGAGAAGTTTCCCCTTCGTGCAAGCCAGGCTTGCCCCAGCCTGTCACTAATTACAGATGGAACATGAAGTTCAGAAAGGAGAAATCAGAATTGTTCCCTTCCCTCCAGCAAATATCCATTGAAAAAAAAACAAAAAACCCTGACTCTTTGCCTGATGGCACCAGAAGTTTTGTTGATAAGTTTAAAAAGAAGAGGGAAAATGATTGATGGAAAAGCTGAAGAGCTGACACGCAGTTAAGGGCTCCTCTCCTCCTTGCAACGTATACATCCCTTATTTTGAAAGAGATCTCCTATTCTAGAGATCAGATGAAAACTTGATTGAAAAAAAAAAAAAGTAGTGCTTCAGTCACACTTTCTAGTTAGAGACCTCAAGGCTCTTTAAACACACAGGGAGGAAAGCCAGGGATGAGTCACAGAGGGCAACCATGTTCGTGTCTCCCATCCTAACCTTCTGCATGCTAAAGATCTCAGAGCTGGAGACAGATTTCAGCTGTGCCCTGCTCTGAACACCACGGGCATCCCTTTGCTGGAGGGCTCCTTTTGCCTGGCTCCAGCAGAAAAAACTCACTTAGGTCTTTGGATTGCACTTCTAAAGAAAAGTTCCTGTGCACCTGGCCAGGTCCTGCATAGCCTGAGCAGCTTTTTGCCTTGTGTGCTTTCCATATGAAGGTCCCTCCCCAGTGCTGCATTTCTGGCCCTCTGAAATCCCCACTCYCCTCTGAGCTGAAAGGAAGCGCAGAGGATTATCTGGAGACCAGTGTTATCTCTAAGTGGAGCCAGATGTATAAATCCCATTATTCTTGAAATAATCACTATAGAGTAAGATCTCCTTTCAGAGATTTACAGTTTGGGATGCTGATCCTTCCCTGGAGTCCCTTCCCAGCACACTGGAAGCAATGATCTACACCCATATCCCGTGTCCCTCCACTAAACTTGGCACCGCCAACTGCACAATGAAGACATCA